AATTTACAATTCAATTGAAACAATTGTCAATGAACCTTGCATTCTTACATGTCTCAGGAACTCTGGTCTTGTTACAGATGAGAAGATGAAGTATCTTGAGTCATGTGTGAAGACAAGGTACATTCTCAGAGGTCAATTGGCAAAAATTGCACCGTTGGCAAATGTCAATATCCGAGTCAACATACCTACAGCTAAAGGTTCTTCACATGACGACTATGTTGTTGACAAAGACTTACCATGGTTGAAGATTGTAATTGTCCACAACCACTTCATGTTGAACGAAAGTCTTACAAACCCATTCTTTGGTAAAAGTAAGTGCAACATTGTCAGAGCTGTAAACATTCTTTTCGAGAAAGGTTTGTTGGAACCAATTCCAGATGACAAGCTGACAGAAACTTTTGTACCAAAAGACGAAACAAACTTTTCATTGTTAGCAAGACCAAAAGTTGTTCCAGACAAAGTTCTAGTACAAAAGAAGTACACAGTTCCACAAGGAGTTGGTATGTTCGGATACCAACCTGAACCAGAAGAACTTCCAATGAGGTTGCAAGAACTTCAAGATGCTATAAACAAACTTCCATTGAGACATCCAATTGACGTCAAATTGTATTGGAGAGCATCTGAGTTAGGTCAGAAGGTTTTATATGAAACAGGTTGCTTCGACGATGTTTATGAGATAACAGGAGAAGTTTCTCAGAAGATAAGAGACTCACTTGAATTTCCACAAACTGGACCAATTGGTTGCGACAAGTTCGACTCAGATGAAAAGATATACTATGTCGACCTTAACGCTGCATACATGAGGTTTGTCCAATATATTCCGACTGGAATTCCAAACGAAGATGGTGAGTTCCCGGGAAGGAACTATACAGTTGGAAAAGTCATACAACAACTGTATGATATTAGGAAAGCTTCAAACCCCAAACTTGCAATGACACTCAAATTGCTTATGAATTCGACATGGGGATATTCCATTAAGAAACCTCAAGAGATGAAGAGTAAACATTATGAGAAGGTCGACAACTTTGTTGAAAGGTTTTCTCCTTTTGTTTTGAAGTACGAATTCACTCAAGGTCAAAGTGGCTTAGTAACCACATTAAAACCTATTGTCGAACATTGGTCTTACCCTCAGTTCGCAAAGGCAGTCCTTGACGAGTACAACAAATTCTTCTCCGAAGTCAAATCGAAAGTCAAGGTTTACTATGAGAACATTGACGCACTCATGACGAACGAAGAAGGATACAACAAACTCATTGAAATGGGAATGGTCGGTGAAAAGATGGGTCAATTCAAATTGGACAAAATTTTCACCGAAGTTCATGTCCTCTCCAAGCGTAAGTACTGGGGTGTTAAAGAAGATGGTGAAATAGTTAAACATTGCATGAAATAAAAAATTTATTTTTAAAAAAGTGACATTTTTTTAATGGCGTACATCCCTGAGCGCTTCGTCCAGTTCAACCAAATGTTGGTCTCGGACCCAGGCAAGAGATATTCCAAGCCCGAACTCGACCGTCTCTTCAAAGAATGGATTGAAGACTACAGAGGAGACGAGTGGTTGACAATTGAATTTGCTCGGGCTTGGAATTGCTACAGAAGGGTCTTAGACGTGGACCCAAGACTCACGTACAGAGGTTGGGATGTGGTCTTCACATTCCAAAATTGGTACGAATACCAAAAATAAAAACTTAAATTTACTTGGGGTTTCCCCCTAAAATAATTTTTTTTACTCTTAGAACCACTCGAGGTTCTCCTTACGGTTGTTGAGCTTGTCACCGTCAATGTGTCTGACCTTCGTCTTCTTGTCTGGATTTGGAACCCATTGAATTGCGACAAGCTTGCCCATGGAGATTGAACCGCGATTCCGAAGGTTAAGGTTCAAGTGTCCCAAGTTGTTGAGGACTGGGGTAAGAACCTTGCCTGTCTCCTTGTTGCGGATTTGGTATGGGTAGGGTTGGGAAATTTCGTAACCGTCATCGGCAACAAGGGTTGCCCATGTAGCGGCTTCAGGAACTTCTTCTTCTTCTCTTCTTCTTTGTTCTTTCTTCCTCTTCTTCCTCGACAATTCCTTCTTCAATTTGGTACTCACGAAGTACGGTGTTGCATGTTCTGTCCTTTCCGAGTACCTTCCAGATGGCGTCTATCTCTTCGAAGAAACGGTAGATGAGTCTGGCAAGGTCTCGGTTCTCTCTCTCGTAATTGCGCAAGGTTTCCGCGAAATCGTTCAGGCATTTCTCATTGGAAGCTTGGTTCATGAGGACATCGGCTTTAAGTTCCTTCATCTCTGTCATAAGACTACTTTGGAGAGTCTTAATGGTGTTTGTCAGATGAGCTTTCAATTGGGCAATTTGAATTTGAATTGGGCGCTTGTCTGGCAACCTTGAAAGGACATCTGCCATTGTGTTCGGCTTCGGTGCTTGTTCGGACATCGAAAAAATGAAGTGGTTTGAGAATGACGGTTTTACTTCAAAAAGCTGGTTATGACAGTTAAGTCATACAACAAGTTTAAAATAATATCTTGTTCTTCTTCTGAACGTTTGTTGTCTCTTCCGATAAAAGTTTCGAACATGAGAACCAAAAAACGTTTTTTGAGGAACCGAAAGAGTTCAGGCAAATTTTCATATTCTGGATATGTTGGGAGCAGTTCAAAACATCTGAGCTGACTTTCGGACAAAATTGGGACAATGTCAGAAAATTCATCTTTGGTCGGACTGCTTGAAGGTAAGTCCCTTACATGTAAGTAGCTCTGGTAAAGTCTTCTCATTCTGCTAACTTTTGGAGTATAGCTTCGTAGTTTAGAGTTTTAATTTTAATTGTCTTATTCCTCTCTTGACATCTAAACGGTAAGTATCCATGAGGTCAAGAGTAGCTTTGGTAGCTTTAAGTGGAGCTATCTCTTCTTTGACTTGTGCAATTTTGGTTGCAATTGTGGTTTGAGCTCCTTCAAGTTCGCCGTCTATGTCGTTCTCAACGCCTTCAACCATGGCTTGAAACTCTTCATCGGTCCATTGAGATTGGTGTGGGACGAATTTAACTTGCTTCATTCAAAAAATGAAAAAAATGTTTTTACTCTAAACGTGCCATGTATATGGCTATAAGAAACTTACCAGAAGGCTTCTTCTTCACATGAGTCTTTGGCAACTTGAGAGTTCTTGTTGGAGTTGGGTCTGGAATTTCAATTCTCTCTCGAGCGCGCATTCCCCACTGTCTTTCTTGCCACCATAAACTGTGTATTGACCGAACTTGCATTTGCAGGAAGACCGGTCAATACAAGGTTCACAGTTGAAATAGTTGTACTCATACCTGGTGAGTACGAGTGTGAGTAAAAACATAAAAAAGTGAGTTAAAATGAGATGTTTACTGAACTGGCTGAATGTCGCCTTCACAGGTTATGTAGAACGGCTGACCAGAGAAGTGAAAGAGAGACTGAATTGCCAATTTCATATGGGGTAGGGGGTTCTCCTTGTTTGGTATTTTTATCCAAGGACGTTTGTTTAGGAACTTAACAAGAGCTTCTCTTTTGGCGTCCTTTATGCCATCGTAGGCTGTCCCGTCTGGTATTTGAATTGGAATTCCAGTCGAAGTCTCGAGCTGAAGTGTAGACCTTCCAGAAATAGTGATGAACTTGACCTTGGGCTTCATTACCTTGCGCAAGTAGTCTTTTACGCAGTCGTTAAGATCAATGAGATAAATTGCCTCGTCAAGTCTTTCTTGCATTCCAAGTTCTTCCATCCGACAGGAAAATATAGGGTGTCCAAAGGTGCATTTAGCACAGCGCTCTATATGAGACTATTAAAGGAGATATATGCTGATTATAAATATATAATAAAAAATATGAATATATGTATATGATGAGTATGTTGTATTTTGGCGCCATGCCGGGATATAAAATGAATTTTGAGACAAGAGGCGGTTTCGCGGGAAATTTTGGCGGGATTTTTTTCATTTTTTTAATGAATCATAAAGAAAACATCCTCGCTCTTGCAAAAAAATGCAAAGACTGTAAAAAATCTACGAGACATTGGTAAAATGCTTCGGTATGGATGCTCCTAGCTATTCCACTGTAACGTATCATGTTAGGATGTATCACTTCATGAACAAAAAGGCGCACATCATAAAAATTGACAAAAAATCGCCGGATCAAAGAAAAATCAAAGCAATTCTTCAAGCGCTAGATGAAGACCCAAGAGCATCACTCAGAAGGATAGAGGAGATGACAAAGATACCACGTACAACAGTCAGTTATTATCTGCACAATTATTTGAACTACAAACTAGCGTATACACGTTGGGTTCCGCACAACCTTAATTCAGTTCAAAAAAAATCTAGAGTCCAATCTTCGAAAGAGCTCCTCTCTATATTGGGTGCGTATCAATCCAAGAAGTTTCGCTTTTTAGTAACAGGGGACGAGTCTTGGTTTCAATATGCAACAGAAGCCAAAATCATGTGGATCCCGAAGGATGAAAATCCGCAAACATTCCCGAAGAAAAAAATTGACACACCAATGATGATGTTGTCGGTTTTTTGGGGCGTGAATGGCATCATCGCAATTGATATTCTTCAAAAACCTAATACGATGAATGCTCAGTATCTAATTGACAATGTTCTTACTCAAATTATCAATTCTGATGAGTTTGAGAAATCCAAACAACAAAAACAAAAGTTTGCAATTCATTTTGATAATTCAAGAGTTCACAAAAGTCATAAGGTAATGAATTACTTGGTGGAAAACAATGTCAAAGTTGTTCCAAACCCAATTTATTCACCTGATATTGCACCCTCTGACTTTTATTTTCCCGACAAAGGGAAAAATTTTTCCTTCCGACGGGAAGAACTCTTCCAGTTGTCCGTCCGTAAACCATTCAAATTTTCGAAATTTGAGAACTTTTTGGTCGAACTTCAGAAAAAGTTTTTCCTTCCGACAGGAAAAGTTCTTCCATCCGACAGGAAAAATTTTTCCTTCCGACAGGACACAAACGGATGACTGACGTTCCTCTTCCTGAATGCCTTCCAAAGCCAGAAGAACTGAAAGCTGCAGAACCACAACAGTCTCCTCAGCAACCTCAGTTCCAGCAAGTACCTCCGAATTACTACCAATTTCCACCTCAAGGTTACTACCCACCACAAGACTTCCCGAACTACCCTCCTCAGCCTATGCCTTACTTCCCCAACCCTTGGTTGTTCCAGCAAGCTCCACCCTAGCAATTCAATTCCAATCTCAATCGAAGAGAGACCAAATTCGAAGAAGGTCTGAACCGCTTACGCAAAGAGTATGCTACAGCTCCAATGGAAGACGACAGGCTTTCAGTCTCTTCCCTCAAATCGACCGATTCGACTCGTACCACAGATTCGGTTCGTGACCGTGAAGACTACCTCAAGCAGTCTGAGAGACTCTTCATCCTACAACCATTTACAGTTGGAGCTCTCAAGAACATGCGCAATTACGAAGGTCAGACACCAGCTGGAGACCGCAAAACAGACGTACTCGCAAGAGCCGTCCAGCTCGTCAAAACAAAGACGGAGATAGTCGACTTCATACTTGCAGCTTGCCCTTACAAGTAAAAAAATAAACAATTACGAATTAAACTTTTTACTCTTCTTTCTGAGTTGTTTAGAGCTGGTTTCTCTTGTAGAAACCTTTCGTACTCTTCATGGTCATGTAATTGCGAATTTGGTACGCAATTCCAGGTTCGTTGTTTTTGAACCTGATGTATGTAACGCTTCCATCCTCCTCAGGGAAGTAAGCTGCTAACATCTGACCAAGTTTTCTCGGTGACTCGGAGCTCATAAAAATGTCACTTTTTAAACGTTAAGTTTTTAGTCTTAATTTACCCTTTGTTTTGTCAAGGTAGTATTGGAGTGCAATTTCTCCAAATTCTCTGTGTCGGAGTTCTTCAGCATTTTCCAAGGTGTACCTGGAGAACTCAAAGAAGTTGTCAAGAACATACTGCCATGCTGCTCTTCTGAGTTCGTCGGTATTTTGGAAGTGTTGCACCTTCGAGTCTTCGGACATGAAAAAAATGACACTTTTTCTATTAAACCGTTTTGGCATTTCTCATGAGTGAGTATAGTTCTGCCGAACCATTGGAAGAGAAGAAGTACCCTTGCTGGCAAAAGACAAAAATAGTTGCCTTAGTTGTCATTGCAATTGTACTCGTAATTGAATTCATTGTACTTCTCTTCACGTACATAAAACTCAACAATGGTATTTGCTTTAAGAAGCTACCATCTTACTAAGACTAAACACTTAGATTTTTCAAGCTTGACTTTTTACAATTTGAACTTTGTTTGCGTAGATATGAATTCTGAAAGAAGTATGAGGGTCTTGTATGACTTTGTACTTCTCCCATAGTTCATGTCTGTCAAACTTACCTGCCATGGACTCTTTCATAAGTTCCATGAAATCGTCTTCGGACAATCCGGGGAAAAGTATTATGTCAGTAAGTATTCTTTTAACATCCTTACTTAAACTCTTTGCTGTCTGTACACAAATGACAACTGAGATGTTAAAGTGTCTGAGCTTCTTAAGAATTCGACACATATCTTGTTCTCTATTCTTTAACAAAGGATGAGAGGCGAAATCATCTAAGATAAGAAGACATCTATGGGGGTAAGTCTTCCAATCGTAAGATTGCAATTTCTTCGAAATGTATTCTATCTCTTTCTGTTTGTTTCTGAAGTGTTTCTTCTCTAATATTCTCTGCATTTCCTCATTTGGGTCTGTAAACTTAGAATTTATATACTCATTTATAGCATTATACTTCAAAACTCTTCTTTGGTACTTCTTTATCCAATCTAACAACTCAGTATCCTTTATACATACTAACTTAGACTTCTTTATAATATCTTTGAACGAATTGACGGTTTGGTCAAATTGACCAGAAGTCGAACAAATGACTACTAACTCATAGAATGGGTTCTTCTCATCTAGTTCTTGTTGTTGTGCAGCCATTTTAAGATAAGTGAAAGTCTTACCAGACCCAGGTGGTGCAATTAGACCTGTTATACCATTCTGAGCAAATAAGAACTTGTCATGTATAGGCTTTATCTGAGCATTTTCTAACTTCCTCTTGTTCTTGTTTAAAACATTCTCAAATTTCTTGTCAATGTCAGCAAACTTTTTTTCTAACATATTTTTAGAAAAATTAAAATTTTTATCTTTTAGAAAATGTCTAGCGATTTCGCTACCTATATTCGAGACAAACTTTTTGACAGCAAAACATCTGTCGACCATAAAATCTTACATAGTGTAAACAAGAAAGGTGAATTTGTTCTAAAGTTCTGTTTCTGGGAATATGACAAGAACCATAAAACATTACAAAGAGCAGTCTTAAAATTTGTCAATGACAGACTTGTTGACAGAGATGACGCCGATTGGAAAGATGAAGTCCAACAAAAGTTCTTAGAATGCAAAGAAGACACATGCGCTGTTCTTGAAGATGAAATAGAAAACAGAATAGATGAGCTATTAAAGGACAAAGAACTTTTACATAGATATGGTTCTGAGAAATTTGACATATCTCCACCAGAGAAGAAGAAGAAAGAAAAGAAAGAGAAAAAAGTAGAAGAGAAGAAAGAACCTGAACCAGTTCCAGAGAAAAAGAAATTTGACATGTAAAAATAAAATTTTATTTTTAGAACATTTCTGGGTCAATGTCAATGTTCTCTTCCTCTTTAGGAGCAAACACTGGCTTAGACTCTAAAATCTTTTTACCCAATTTACCTTGAACTTCTACAACTTTAGACTCATAATATTCATAGTCGTCTGTCTTCTTTGGTTCATAAGGTATAACAAGTTTGTATGCTTTGCCTTCTTTAAGGTTTGAGAACCTTCTGTCAAAACTTTCTTTGACTGTTAACAAACCTTCTATGTCTAAGTCTTCAAATTTCGCACCATTTTTAGTCACAATAGCAAACTTAACTGGTTCGATGTTCCAAACTTTGTCAAATGAAGACTTTTCAAAATGGTAGAAGTAAACATTCAAATATGTGAATGGGTCTAGTTCTTCTTTAGTCCTGACATGTACTTGTTTACTGAAAATATTTTCGTCATCTTTTCTATCGGATAAAAAAATATTTTTTTAAATTTACTCAGAAAAAATTTTTCTTTGTATATACACCATTCTGTACGTCTAAAAGACTTTTGACATTTGCCAAGAATGTTCGTTTAGACGCTGCATATAACCATACTCTTGACAATATTGTTTATATTCATCATATAAAGACTTTTCATCTAACACTCAAAGTCGCTTTCATCTTATGAACAGTTCATATACACTCTTGTTTGCTTCTAACAATGTTTGTCTCTCTTCGTATGTGGAATTTGTCTTGGATTGAACTTAGAAATATCTAATGTCATGAAATATGAGAACAAGTGTTGTAAAAGTCAGATGTCAAATTTCTGCTAAGTCGTCAAAATATTTGTATCTTGCATATGAGAATCTGACGTTCTGACAACTACATATCTTCTGTCAGAACTTTCTAACTTCATCGGAACAGCATTGTTTGAAACCATAATGAAGTTTGCAACATTTTCACAAACTCTTTGGTCTTTATACTTTCTTTCAACAACTCCAACTTTGTCTGTTATAAGACTCTTCAAAGCATCTGAGTTCAAAACTTTTGTTGTATCTATACTTTGAAGTTCATTGCAAACTATAAGTTTCATATTCTCATTGAAGGAGTTAAACTTGCCAGATGTTTTCTAAGTTTGTCATATTCGATTCGAATAACCTTCTAACAGTTTGCACAAGAATATCTGTAAAGAATGTTTCTTACCTGTTCCTTGTTTTCCAATTATAATGAGAAGCAGTTTCATTTTTAGCACTTGGATGTTGTAAGATATTTGCAAACCAACATAAGATATACTCATAGACTCTTTCGTTTCCATTGCATATAATTTCTTTGACATGGTCTAACCAAGCTTCTATAATTACTGTGTTTCCATTCTACTTGTTCGTATTTATATCCAGTGAAGATAGAATAGAAGTTTGGAGAAGGTGTATAGAACTTTATACCTCGAACTGAAAAATCTTCTAACTTTGACAATAAGATATCCCAAGCATCTAACATCTTCATTCCAACTTGTACAACTTTTATTTTCTTAAGTTTCTGTCTACATTCTTGTTCAGACACTATTGTTGCTCTTGGTTTGTTAATGACAACATCCCATTCTTTCATGACATAACATTCTGGGGCAGAGTCAACATAAATGACTAAACGTTTCAAATTCTCGACTGCTTTGTTATAGTCTCTAAATGGACACATATTTCTGAATGCTTGGAAGTCATAAAATCTGAAACATCTATTCTGTACATTTTTTATAAAAATAAAAAAATATTATTTTTTTATTCTTGACTTTGTTGTTCATTTGTTGCATTTGTTGTTCTTGAGCTATTTGTTGTTGAAGTTGTTCTTGTAATACAATACTTTCACCAGTTGCATCTTCCAATTCGAAACTTTCTGCCGTCATTGACAAATACATAGGACATAAAAGTTTACAGGAACAAAGTTTGCGTCAACTAATGTCAACGTTATACTTGCCAAAGAGATCTAATATTTTCCGGCGGAATATGAATCTTCGGGTCTCGCTGATTCGATTTCTGCAGTCAGATCGTAAAAATACCCACTACATAGCCTGATAATCTCAATTTAAGTTCCTTAATTTTTTTGAAAAAAAAATTAAAACTCCCTTATCAAACATCATGCTCATTTTTACGAATTTCATTTTTCCTTTAAGTTTAAAATATACGCTTTTTAGCATGTTTATAATACATTTTCAATTTACATTTACATTTTTATTTTTGAATTGTTTATTTATATTTCCGTTTGAACAATAATATTTATTGAAAATTGTGAGAGAAACGGATATAATAAAAAACACCATACAACAAAATTCACTTTTTTTCATACTTACGCGGATCACTCCTTTTCGGCCCAATATGCCGGAAATGATAAAACTCTCAGATCTAGTTGCTAAGATCCAAACTCTCGACTCTCAAATCTATTTCCTCAGATATTGTTGCTAAGATCTACTTCCTCAGATCTTGTTGCTAAATCTACTTCCTCAGATCTTGTTGCTAAGATCTACTTCCTCAGATCTTTTGCTAAGATCTAAACTTCGACTCTCAAATCTACTTCCTCAGATCTTGTTGCTAAGATCTACTTCCTCAGATCTTGTTGCTAAGATCTAAACTCTCGACTCTCAAATCTACTTCCTCAGATCTTGTTTCTAAGATCCAAACTCTCGACTCTCAAATCTACTTCCTCAGATCTTGTTGCTAAGATCTACTTCCTCAGATCTTGTTGCTAAGATCTATCCTCAGATCTTGTTGCTAAGATCCAAACTCTCGACTCTCAA